AATTAATCACAATTACACAAGTACTCTTCACAAAACTCTCAACAAAATAGGAAAAGTAGATTTTTACATGGGTGCTCATGTGTTTTGTGATCTGTCACTTCGAAAAATTAAAGGAATCCTATTGAATATTTCTTTAGGTGGGACATAGTAGAAAAGATGGTCAGCACAATGCAATGTCAAATGTATAGAATCAATTGCCAACAAAGTAAATCCATATATCTGTATGTTTTTGGAGTTGCTGACTCCGGATCCGGTGTTCGTTTGACAAAATTAGATCTGGTTTTAGATCAGTTAAAGGTCAAATGTAGGTAATCAATTTCCAATAATGTAAACTAATATGTCTATACGTTTTTGAGGTCGCCGATGTCAAATCCGTGGTCCATTTGACCTGATCAGGTCTGCTAAATATCATCAACTTCTAAACTCAAAACGTTCAAGCATTTATACGTATTAAAATTTGAGTACATCTTTGAGTACACTTCTCAGATCTTTTGACAACAAAATAGTTCGATACCATAAAAGTGAGATGTAGTAATTTCATGTGATTTATTAAAGCAAAAAATCTGTTATCTTGACTTTTCTCAAGAATCTCGACGAACAAAAACTCACTGTGTAAATTAATGTACATGAAGCATTAAAGCATTAGCGGACATATTGTTTTAAAGCTTACTTAATTAGGCTTACTGATACTAGAATTTTGTCATGTGAAAACAATAAACTTGAAAGTCACGGACTCAAGAATTAAAGCCTTCTTTCTTTAACATTATTTGTTACTCAAATTTTAATACGCATAAATGAATACTTGAGTGTTTTGAGCTTTCAACTTAGCAGATCTGATCAGGTCAAACATACCCTGGATTCGGATTAAACGACCCCAAAAACGTATAGATACATTGGTTTATTTTGTTAGCAATTGATTCTCTACATTTGACCTTGAATTGACCTTAACGCAGACCTGATCGGATCAAACGGACACCGGATTTGAATTCACCGACCCCAAAAACGTATAGACATGTAGGTTTACTTTGTGTGCAATCGATTCTCTACATTTGACCTTGAACTGACTTTAACGCAGACCTGGTCGGATCAAACGGACACCGGATTTGGATTTTACGACCCCAAAAACGTATAGATATGTTAGTTTACTTTGTGGGCAATCTATTATCTACATTTGACCTTGAACTGACCTTAACGCAGACTTCATCGGATCAAACGGATATCGGATTCAGATTTACCGACCCCAAAAACGTATAGATACTCGTATGTATGGTTACTTTGTTGACATTTGACCTTCAAGTGACCTTCAACCAGAGCTAATCGAATGCAACGAATACCGGATTCGGATTATATAGATAGGGTCTTGTCTTTCGATATTCTACTTTTTTTGTGGGGCTGTGTAATTAGTGTGATAGTAAAAAAAGACTATAAAAACACAAATAAATAACAAACAAAGAGCAAATTATCATAACACGGAACTCATTACATGATAACAAACAGTACACATTACGATACACAGAACATACTGATGTCAAGTAACAATTGTCTCTTTAGTGTAACTGCCAGTTACATAAAACGTTCTTGTAAATTGTATTTAGGTAAACTACCAATGAAATCACTATATAAAATATAATTTTTAATTTGGATCAATTTGTTTTAGAAATCTTCATATGGATTAAGTGAAGATTAACTGGTGTTGATAAATACTTTTCTTGAGGCAATGAAAGTTAAAATAGTATAATAATTGACTTGATTGGGCGATCTATTTAATATTTTTTCAAATACTCAAAAAGTTTCATCAATATACAAACATCTTTGTATCTTTATTTTTTTCCATATTGCGCGGTTTCATCACATCAGAAAGAAAAACTGAAGAAAATGAATATTCAACAACGTAATTTAAATGTAATAGAACATGTTCTAAACGGAAAATGAAAAATGACCTACCAGAGATGCAGGCGATCCTAGGAAAATTTATTACTCCTTTCGCATTATTAATATATAGTTTAAGTTAAATTGTAATCCATTTTAATAAAACTAGGAATGATAAATGGTTATAGGAAAAAATTACAGATCCTCAGACAGATTCTAACCCTAATAAAGATAAATAAACCGTCCTGCGAGACCGACCAAAAATTTAATCATGTAACTGGTAGAAGCGAGAAGGGTTTTCCCTGAAAATTACATCCGCACTAAAAGTGAATCGTGCGTTAAAGCGGATTATGAAGTTCTAAAGACTGCTTTGAATTTGGTCAGAATGAAATGAAGGAAAGCTGGAAATGAACGGTGATTGTGACGTCCTGGGCGAGGGATAAGGGGATTTTTTCACACGGGGAAGGGCACATCCCGGATACTGCAATCATGCACATTAGTCGCGAGGAAGAGCCCTGGTTGGGGCCTCGACCGTCAACTCTGACAAATGATTCTATCCGGCAGCGTACGCGCTCGCCTGTAGTGGCATTACATCAACTGCCCGTAAATGTTATACAAAGCAGCAAAATCTTGACCATGCTTGAGGAGGTTTCTGTATGTATATGAATTTTGATATTAGACATTTATATAATCTAATTATTTAACAAATGGAAAATCTTGAACAAAAACTAATCACATGGTTTCAATTTATAAGAATTAACATGCACAGGTAGTAGATGTGATATATTTTATGAATTATATTTTCCAAATTTCTAGAACGAGAAGAGAGAACATTGATAAGTTGAATTTATAGAAATGTTTCAACAAAACTTACTATACATATATCTCCGTTAACGGGCACTTTAGAATTTTTTTTATAACAAAGGTTATTTTGACCTCTATACACTTCCGAGATTATGCCATATACTTATCGGACACCCTGTATAATAAAGGTTTATGGCTTTAAGTTTCTTACATTTTCCTTTACCAGTTACAATGGATTTACACTGTACAAAAATCGGTGAGAGTGAAAGCAATAAAGATACGGAGTGAATCCATTGTGTGAAATTATTGAGTACATTTTCACCCAATATTGAGAATTTTGATAATTTTACTCATATTTGAACTAAAACTGAGTGCTTTCACATATAGGTACCCGTTAAATAAATTCTGCAAATAAACTCGTATTTGGTACAGTTGTAGCTAAATCGGAGTAAATGTCCTCATTATTGAGTGTCCCTGTGGTTGTCGTGCGTTGCCTTTGTCTATTCCCATCGTCCCCATTAGGTCATCTCGTGGCGTGGTGTATCCGTTAATCTTGTTATTTTGGTGAAAATTATGTTTAATGGCAGTGGTTTAATTACAATAATTAAAAACAATAATATATTGAGTCTCCATTAATATTTGGTTAAATATAAATATAGATAGCTAAATTGTTACCTATACTTGCTTACGTATCTGTAAAATATAATATAGGTTATGGCAATCTATTCGTCCAGATAACCACTTCCTTTAATCGAGACCTAACCTAAAATATTAGCTCTAAAACAGATCTGTGTAGAAAACACTGTGGCAGTTTAGTGGTTTATGATTTTAATACAATGATATTTAAATTAAATTTTAAATATAAAGTGGTGCAAAACCACTACAGATATTAATTAAATAGAGCAGCAACGACTGGTGCGGGGGGCTCTGGGGCGCCGCCCTCCTTGAAAATTTTCACAGTACAAAATTATCCAATAATAGTTAAATTTAAATCATATTATAGAAAAAGTCAATTCTTAATTGGTTTTACATACTCAGAATAGAGTCAAAAGTCATTCACTTTATAGTTAGCAGAAACTTGGATTTGAGTAAAATTCACTCACATCTGCTGCAATAATTTCACATATAAAATTTTAGTTATACTCATACTAATACAGTGAAAATTTCACTCAATCGTGTGTGGACAGAAATTGATACATTTTTGAATAAAATTAAGTGAATTTGAGTGAATTTTTTTTATTTTTAGTGTACATTTACACACACATACTCAACATTTTACCCCCTTAACTTTTTTATTTTTTGAGTTAGACAAAAATAGTTAAGATAAAAGTTGTAGGGAATCTTTCTGTGAGTTTAATGAGTTTATGAAAATAGAAATTATACAGGGCGCTCCAAAGATACGCACCAAACTTATGTTTTTTTTAACGGAACACCCTGTATATTATTCGATTATCGGAATCTCTGCCTCTTCCTGATTCCAACAATGTATATATGTTGTAGGTTTACTTAACAATTTGCTCAATATTCTGCTTTGAAAGACTGAATCTCGCAATGGACAATATAAAAATTGCTATGGAAAGTAAAAGTATTAGATATTTATGCTCTATTTTAAATAAGTATTGTCTAGGTGCTGCTTAACGGCATTTGCTCTGTGTGCTGGAGCGCAGTCTTGCTGCCAGACAATATTTTGCACATCAAGAGCATTTACCAAATTATATAGTTCAATATATTTCAGTCCATCAAAGAGATAAAATACTGGACCTGTTTTGCCTCTGAATAGAGATATATTGGTGTGGATTTTCTGACGCCCAGTGATGTGAATTTCTTCTATTGTACGTCACTGTTTGTTTTATATTTTATTGTAATATGTATGTCTAATTACTTGCAGAATTTTTCATCTCTCATATTCTCCTTTGTTTTTATTTTTGACAATGCTAATCCATAACTAGTTTGTGGCCACAAAGCAAATAAAAAATTTATTATTATTATTATTATTATCTAAACTTTTCGTTCCAAGAAAATTGTGACTTCTGCCGTAAGTTAAAAAAATTTAATGAATGAATAAAATCTAGTTCGTTGTAGCATTTGTTGTACCAATATCAGATTTACAGCCATACTGATTGTTTTATGATTTTTTACATTTTTTTCCAATAATTCGTTAACCTAACTCTTGATAATAGTTTAAACATTTGTACGATACCGTTTATAACTGACAAACCCATAATTTGTTAGTTTCTCATCAGATGGTACATATTGAATCATATAAGTCATGAAGTATCAAAACTACTGGCTGCCATTTTTTAAATTAATATTAAAATAGTCTTCTCTCACCTCCTTTCCTCGTCTTCCGATTTTATGTCGATACTTTCAGATTTAATCGACATTTCCGTCTCGTTAATATCTAATTCCTTGTCCAGGTTTTCAGTTTTAACAAATAAATCGAGGGGAGACGTATCTATTTGGCTTCCTGTGGCTGAACTATCAAAAATATATTTAATTTTTTCTTTTAGCTCTAAGCAATCTTTAAGGAAACTGTTGTGAGTACACAGAGATTCGAAGCATGGCTTACAAATCACAGGATCTTTGACGATATTTATTAACTACAAAGCAGTTTTGTTAAATTACAAAATATGCAAATATTTAATATCGTTCATACCATTTCAGGAGCCAATTTCTCGATAGCTTCAAGTTCCCCATCACCTATGCACCTATACTCACTTTCTACTAGGTGTATACACAATCGACATATTTTCTGACTGCAAACTAATGCACTTTTCTTTTCCTGCAGGTACACTTGTCTTAAATCGAGCTGTAACATTTTTTGGCTATCCACATAAGGAATAATTGTGTTATCCGTATTCAGACACATTGACTTGAATTTTGACGCCGAATTTAACTTTCTTCTGCAAACGTTACATATAACCTCTTTGCTCTCGCTACCAAATTTCTGAAAAATTTGCAACTATAAACAGAAAGAAAATAAGTGTAGCGGAAAATAACAGTTAGATCCAGGCTGCTTTATATTTGAGACTGTTAGGATCTAATCTAATAAGATTTCACCGACTTACCAATTTCAGCAAAAGAACATCTAAAGTATCTCTGATAATGTTGTCTAGTGATGGGAGATTTCGAGTGAAAAATCGAGTGGTACTCGATTATTGAGATCACTCGAGATATCTCGAGATGTTTACTCCCACAACTCGAGTGATTATTAGCCTACGGTTGCACCCCAAAATGTTAGTGCATACTGCAAATAGTCACTGATTGCGTAACCTTTTTTTTAGAATAAAACGAAAAAGTGGTTAGGTTTTGAAGTGCGTGAGCTTTTTTTTTTTAGCTACGCTTATAAGTAATATATGACTAATACAAACATATTTGTGCGCCGCTGGGATGAAAACGACCAATATCTCGTATCTCGAGTGATCACTCGATTATTAGAAGTACTCGATTACCGATAACTCGATTATCAAAATTGGTCGATTATGCCCATCACTA